AATTCTTACTACTTTTGGAAAAGTAAATAAAAATTGGTAATGTAGAGTTTTATAAAAGTATATATCATTATTAACAAATTTAAATCTTAAAATGGTCTGTAATTAAAGAAAACCGTTAATCCAAATTAGAAATCACTGAACTTCGTAATTTGATTAACAAATTTTAATCGGACAATTTTCAAAAATACTACATTTTGAAGTTTTGTTTCCAAAATTACCACATTTTTTCAAAAGTTCCAGTAATACCATTATTTGGTAAATGTTCCAAAAATATTACAAAACTAAAATTAACTTTTAATATTTAAAACTAAACCCTAAATCCTATCCCTTAAAACTATACCAATCTATACCATTATTTTACAATAGTTAACTCAAACCAAAAAATTTACATTATAAACTCTTAAAAACCAATTTTTGTGTTCGTGGTATTTTTGGAACATTGAATAAATGATGATATTTTTGAAACTTTTGAAAATGATGATATTTTTGAAACTTTTGAAAAAAATTGTATTTTTTGAAACAAAACTTCAAGGGATGAAATTTTAGGAAATTCTTGGTTTAAATTTTATGTAGTGGAATTTTTTTTTTTTTAAAGTGAATATTTTTTTGTTTGTGATGACATTAAAACCCACATGTGTTGGGTCCAATGAAGAGATTAAATCCATTAATGGAAGAGATCTAACAATGTCACATCAAATGTAGATCGGCCTATGTCTAACGTCAAAGGATAAAGCCATTAGTTCAAAACCAATTTCGACCACAACATTTGTCCATTTATTATTGATATGAAGAGTTTCTAATAATACAACTTTCAAACTTCCTTTATATATATTTTTCTTATATGTCTTCGTAAAACATTATCCTCTTTGATTGAAATAGAAGGGAATTGTTATCATATTACGTTTATCGTATCTACTAGTATATTTAGAAAATTTGTAATCAATGAATGATGAAAATGTTCATAACCGATTAACAATAAATCACATATTTTTCACGTTGGAGTAAATTTTAAAAAATTTGATTGGTACAAATTATTGCTTAAATTTGATTTGGATTAAAAGAGAATGTCAAATAAAAATTATTAATATACTTTCAATATGTTTTGAATCATGCATGTACACATTAGAATGTCTTGTAGTAGACGTCAAAATCATCATTTATTGACAATATATCGATTGAAGAAAATACAAAATAGCTAGCTCCATAAATAGTAAAAATTAAGTTCCACCAAAGTACTTGAATTAGATATGTCTATAATATCTTGGAAGTAGAAATTTTGATGATTATGCATGTACACTGTGTGAAGTCTATTTCAAAGGCCATGGTGGAGTGATCATCTCGCCCCATGCACCCTCACCTCATGTTACCTATTTAGAAACTACATGTCGAGATGTTGAATTTGAGTGAGTGACCATTATCTTTTTGCTTTCTTCTTATTTAGAAACTACTAGCTAGGTCTTCTCATTCATACATATTTTTCAATCTATTTTCATCACCTCAGCTAAAATCCTAGCTAGATATCTTAGATTTTAGTTATATGTTTTGATTATGAAGACCTAGCTAGCTAGAGATCTATCACATATGTAGATATGCATCGATTTACATTCAGTGTCATTTACTTCTTTTTCCGAAATTGCGTAATACGATTTTATACGACATTGATTTAAAGTTGTCAATCATACCAATATTTCTATTTCTAACAAATTATTAACGAGTTCAAATCTATTCTGATCTAGTTTTTTTGTTTTTTTAAA